CCGACGTTTGCGCTCGGGTAAGGTTGGCATGATCTGTCCAACACAGAGTCCGAATAGAGCCAAACATGCGGCGCGTCGCCCGCTTTACCTCGAGCTGGGCAAACGCCTCCTGTATCAAGGGCGGCCAGTTTTGCTGCGCGGGGGTCAAGCTCTTTGAGTGCGTCATAAGCACTTTGAGCTGACTCAAGTCCCGCGTCATCTGCACGACGCTGCCCCCTACCGCGATGCCCGACGCATCCGCGATCTGCTCGAGGGGACACGACCCATCCGCAGCAGAGGCCTCATCGAAGGTAGCCAAATTGATGCGGTTCTGCATCATGCGCTTAATCGCTTTAACGGCTTTGCAACCTTCGGTGGCGGCTGAGCCCAGCCCGCCTTCAGGAAAGACGGCGCCTGGCTTCTGCCACTGCCCTAAAATCTTGGCTGCGTGCCCATACTCAACAGGCAGGTAGCCGCGCAACCAATTTGCGCAACCCAAAAATTGCTGAATGTGAAGCTTCTCCCAGAGCGGGGGAAAGTCAATCACCGCCTGACAACGCTCTTCGTCAGGCGAACTCCCGTCCCGCCCAATGTTGTGTCCTAGGAGCTTACCTTTGGAGACACAAACTTCGGCCTTGCTGATTCCAAAGGAAAACCCAAACAAGATTGACTTGTCTAGGAAACCCTCTAAGGAAACGAGGTGGTCGAGGAGGTGCGGGCATGCCTTAGGGTGCCGGGCGCGCATATCTGCCGCGAGCTGCTCATAATAATAGTCCGTTGGAGGCTCTTCGATCATCTTGTCGATATCCCAGCTCTCCACGATATGATAGCTCGGGCAGCGCGCCGTGTCGACCGCGTCTGCTGGGCGCACAGCGTCACTTGCGCCTCTTCCAGCCGTGGCCGATCCCTCACGCCAGCCAGCCCAGCGTGGCCCCTTGCGCGTCCTAAAGACCGCGAGGCGTTCGGTGACTGGAACCTCATCGCTGCACGCAACGCTTCCCGCCACACGCAAATCCCTCGTGTCCCAAAGACGCCACGCCTCACCTGCGCGCTGAAGCAAGCACGTTTCGTAAGGCGCCTTCTCGACCGCCAGGGTCCCAAGGTCCTTCTGCGCAGGGCGCCTACCCCACACAGACGCGTAACCACCCGGCGCCTCCCACCAGTTGTCGACGCTTGGAAGGTGGTCCAAGCAAGTAAGCACTCCAGGCTCCTCAACAGGGCGCCCAACTGGGCCGCTCCCGCCCCACACCGAAGCGAGAACAGTCACCGCAGCAAGGACCGATAGCACACCGATCCTGGCGCCGGTACGCAGCCGCCCAAAGGACCGCGCGCACGAGGAACAACCTTGGAAGCTTCTTGCCGCGGCCCTGGACGCGGACCCGCAAGCAAAGCACGGGTCATGGTCAACCGATGCAACGGCGACCCCACAATCCGCACATGTCTGCGGAGACGGCTCTGACTCGAACACCGTCTCAATCGCGCCACAACCACAGGCCGCGGTGCTGACGAGGCCGGAACGCACTTCCGCAACAACCTCGCCCGGCTGGAGAGAGTGGTCACACTCTTGGGCTGCAAGCAACACAAACCCTTTACCCTCTCCTGTGGGCCAAAGGCCTGGCACAGCCTCAACCCCGCACTCAACCGGAAGCACGACCTCGGACAGGGATCCCTCTGCGGAGACTCCTGACTCCCGCACGACTGGCACCAGCACCCCGTCGCCTGGTGAGAGCTCGAGCGGCTCTTCCCCCCGTATCTCCTTTTGGAGATACGGGGGCATCTTGCGGAGGTACGAGAGATACAACTCTCGTGGGGTCTTCCCAAGACCCACCGCCTCAAGGTCCGCGATCGATGCCTCAAACAAAGGCTCGAATTGGTGGCCTGTGAGCTTGCCCTTAGCGAGGGAGGCATGCTCACCATCCACGCGGACTTCTCTTTCCTCCCGCGATTCCCCGAACATCAAGTGCTTGTTCTTGATGCGGTCGTACACCGCCTGTGGATCGGAGAGAACCTCTCCCGACTTCCACGCTGCGCGGTACGCGTTCGTGTACGTCTTCATGCGCGAGCCGCGGCAGCGCCCGCGTAGCGCTAGCAGGTTTTCGCGCGCACTCATACCGCGACAGTTGTTGGCCAGCGCGCAGACGTCCTCGAACTCCTCGTAGAACAAGACAACGTCTCGCGCGTCCGACTTGTCGTCGGTCAGCGTCGGCCACGTGAGGTCAGTTTTGACCGTAGTTATGGAGCTTTGCCCGCCCCTCTGCGCTAACGCTTCTTTCAGCGCTTCAGTTTGGGCGGCGAGTGCGGCGGCGAAATCGCCCGCCGGGTTTTGGGACCCGGTCTGCGAACCTCCGCCGTCTGAACCTCGCTTCAGGGCTTCTATCTCCATCTCCAGCGCCGCGAGCTTTGCGCGCAAAGGGGAATCGCCGTCCGTCGCGCCCAGGTCACGGGCCGCGGAAGGACCACCTGCAACCTCGCAGTGTGCAAACCTCCACGGTCCAAACCTACCCCCAACCCACTTGCAGTCGCAGGCTGTGGGAGCCCTGGGGAACGCGGCCCCACGGCTTCAACTGGCACATCGGACGGGGAGCTCCAAACCTTCTCTTGGCTCGAGCTTTCTTTCCCCCTAGCGCGAGGATAAGCTCCCCGATGCATTGGATTTCACGCTGAATCTCCTCTGCGTCTTCGGGGTCCTCGCCACCGCGCAAAGCCGCGACCGAGAATCTGGTCCGCAGCCGACGGACCATCTTTGTCGGATGCCAGTCCCCGCCTATCTTGGAGAACTCATCCGCAAGGAGGGTGGCTTTGGTGCTTAAGGCGTCAAGGTCACGGGAGCTCACCGTGACTCCATGCGCCTTCAGCGCGAGGACAATCCGCGAAACGCGCGTCAAGTAGTCCGCGACCGGTTCTTGGTCTGGACGGAAAATCGCGCGCAGCTCCGCCTGCAAGCCCTCTGCGGTGCCTGGCACCGAACCTGCTGTCGACGGCGGACCGGACGGTCCCGCCGGGCGGGACCCTGGTGCCGTAGCAGGGACATAGGCAGCACCGGTAGGGACCATGGCCAGCTCCCTAGCCGCGGCGCTGACGTCCACCCGCGGCGGACTGTCGCCTCCAGCGCCCGAGGCCTCAGGGACTAGCTCGGAGTCCTCTTCTTCTTCTTCTTCTTCATCTTCGTCCTCCTCTTCGGCGTCATGGAGGAACTTCATGACTTTTCACCAAAGAGCCGCCTCTTGCTCTGGCGTAGTGCTGACCCCATCCCGCTTGGACAGTGGACGGCTGCCAGTCTCCCTACGCCACTTAAGCCAAGCGACGTAGCCCATCCGCTCGGGATAGGGAACGTCACCACCCTCGATCGCTTCGAGGAGGGTGACGCCCTCGGCCTGACCTGCAACCTCTGCGGACATCGCCGCGCCTTGGTTAGCAGGCCGCAGGCGTGGCACACGAAGCGCCGCGCCTTGGTTAACAGGCCGCAAGCGTGGCACACAGTCCACGCGTCCAGGTCACGGACCGCGACAGACAAGCAAAGCAATGCTTGCCCACTCGGGCCGTAGGCACAAGAGCTGTACGAGTTCCCAGAACAGCCCCCAATTGTGAAGTCGACCAGCACTGGACTTGCACTAAGCCAATGCAATCACAGCCCGGTCACGCTGTTTTACGACTTCGCGAGTTCAAGCACTTGTGCAGCTACGCCTGAGTGCGTCCGGTCGGACCGCACAGCAACCTAAGAGCTACTGTACGACTCTACCGTGCTCAAAGGCACAAGCTCGGTACTTGAGCCAAAACATTGGCATTGTTACGAATTGCAAAACTACACATGCAAGGGAAAACAACAAGCTGCACTAGCACTAAGCAAGCACTCCATGCATGCTTTGACCTGCTCACAAGTAGTAGTAGTAGTAGTAGTAGTAGTAGTAGTAGTAGTAGTAGTAGTAGTAGTAGTAGTAGTAGTAGTAGTAGTGTAGTAGTAGTAGTAGTAGTAGTAGTAGTAGTAGTAGTAGTAGTAGTAGTAGTAGTAGTAGTAGTAGTAGTAGTAGTAGTAGTAGTAGTAGTAGTAGTAGTAGTAGTAGTAGTAGTAGTAGTAGTAGTAGTAGTAGTAGTAGGTAGTGGTAGTGGTAGTGGTAGTGGTAGTGGTAGTGGTAGTGGTAGTGGTAGTGGCAGTGGTAGTGGTAGTGGTAGTGGTAGTGGTAGTGGTAGTGGTAGGAGTAGGAGTAGTGGTAGTTGTAGGAGTAGGAGTAGGAGTAGGAGTAGGAGTAGGAGTAGGAGTAGGAGTGGGGGGAGGGGGTAGGGGTCGTGGGTCGTGGGTCGTGGGTCGTGGGTGGTGGGTGGTGGGTGGTGGGTCAGTGGGCAGTGGGTAGTGGTGTGAAAACCTTTGACCGCTCCTGCTGGGGCCGAGGCGAGTAACGTGATTCAAGGTGCGGACATGTCAACTTCACGTGTATTTATTTGCTTCCGTCCTTCCCGACGCCCGGCTGTATACCGATGCTGCGCGCGTCTATGCCAAACCCATCTCGTTCTCTATTCCTGACTGCATGGTTTCACGCTTGAATTTCAAAGTAGTTGGTTCTTTACCCACCAGTCTTCTCCAGCGCCTGCTTCCACACCGCAGATGAAGCAACATGTGACAACATACGTGTACAAACATGTGCTCAAGCCGTGCATGTTTCCGTTGCGTCTTTATCATACTTCGCATCCGCGCTACCTCAAAGCCGGGAAAAGTAGCGGGCATCGGGGCACTCTGGCAGCACAAAAACTGACTGGCGAGTTCCAGTTCCGACAGAACATGTTGCATGATTATCCAATGGATCTGCAGTTATGTATCAACTCGGTGGGTAGTACCGTACAACCCCGACGACTACCACCACTCCCGCTTCCAGTGCTGATGCTACTTTGATTTTGCTACTACCAGTACTGTCATTCTGTTCCGCTGCTAAGAACTGTTGCTGCTTCTACAGCTACTGCTACATTGGTGCTGCTATTCATGTTGCGGCTGATGTTTCTGCTGCTGCGGACACGTGCGAATGCTGGAGGTGCTGCACGATGTGCGGGCAGATCTGGAAGCTACAGATCTGAATGGCATGACAGCGTTGCCTGGCTGCACTTGGCACTCTCTTGGACATGGGATGTCCCGAACGAAAATCAGGCACCAAATTTTTGGTACTATCTGAGCTTGGGGCAGGGTCCAGTTTTAGTTTGACTGAGATTGCAAGCTATGAAAAGGTTGATGCATGCAGCCGTGGAGGGGCAAATGGATTCAATGAAGCTCCTGATCCAGAAAAGGGCTCTTTTGAACGCCACCGACAACAACGGCCTCACTCCATTGATGCATGCAGCTCTGGCTGGGCATACGAATATTGTGAAGTACTTGAACCACACTGGGCTGACTGGGCTCAAGTGCGACAAGTTTCCGCATGTTTGGATACAATGTGCCGCTCTCTTTTGGTTGTACAGGACTGAATGAGACTTTCCTTTATCTTTTCCTGTGGGTGTAGGGGGACTCCCTTGTGAATAGCGTACAGAGTTTTTGCCCTAAACCCTAAAGGACCAACAAATGTGAGATGCCTGTTTGGAGCCAGACACCAAAGCTTGGGGGACCTTGCCTGGAGAACATGAGCAAGGAAGATGCTGTGATGCTAGGCTCTGCTCACGATAGTACACTTTCGTATAGGATTCGAGGGTAACTACAGTACACTATAGTATACTACATGTTTCTCATATCCACAATAGGAGTGCTAATGTTTCGGGTAGATCTTGCTGGTGACTACAATGAGCCAAGGACATGGTTAGATACGATGCACGGTGATCCTTTTCAGAAAGATGATGCCTACTTTCCTTACACATTGTACATGGACCACGACTCCGAGGCTTTCCCAATTTGGACTCAGCGCACATGGATGAGGAGGTGGACATGGGGTGCCGGATATGTCATAGCAGGGATACTTGTTGCTTTCTTGATGCACTCCCTGATGCTTAAATGTTCGCACGGTCGACATGACATCCCCTATCGTGCAGTGTGCGCAGTTGAAGGGGAAGCAAGTGTGGAGACTGAACATGAGTTTCGACAAGGGGCCAAGCTCCTACTGGCACGTGCCCGGCCGCCACAGTATCATCGCTTCTAGGTTGCACCTGTGCAGTTTTTTGCTTTCGGTATGTCTTCGAGCAGAGAACACGGCAAGAGTCGGACAATTGAGGTCTCAGAAAAGCATTCCGGGCGTTGGAGGTGATTGTCAATGTGATCTGCTGCTTCGGATTGGGCATGTCGTTGGTGTGGTGGATTTGGTGGCTGCCACTTTGCTTTGTCTGCTATGCAATCCCGGCCCTCTTCCAGTGGAACTTCTGGACTTTGGTCAGGAAGCCCGTGCTTGTGGTGCCTGCACGGACATCCACAGGACTTGTTATTGCGCTCCTGCGCTCCTTGTTCTTGTGGAGCCTTGCCTGCGCTTCCCATGACATTCCTATCGCAGTCTTCTGGAACATCAGCTACCTTTCACAGGTGTCGGAGTTTCTTCAAGCACTTCGCATTCAAAACCCGATGCTCAAGTACGTGAAGAGTTTGTCGCAATATGTGTGGCAAAAGAATGCTTCGCTCACCGTACTTTGGTTGGGGACATTTTACACACCTTTCACTGCCTATGACGCCGTTTATTGGGCTAGCTGTGGAGGCATTGCCTGCTTCTTCGTGTACGTCCTGGCCCTGCTAATCACATGTGTCTACCTTGCAGCCAGGAGAGGAGGATCAGCTGTGGACTCGGAGACTGACCAGAAGCAACAAAAGACGGATGACATGAAGAAAACAGAGGACATGCTGCAAGAGATCCAGCACGGTACACGGCCCTTCCAGACCGAGACAATGGCGTCGGCCAATATAAATGTCTTAGAAGAGAAGTTCTTGCACGCAAATTGTGGGATCATGGATTCTCTCCTTGTCAAGATGTTCTTCTTCATGCTTGACATATTACTGGATCTTGTTGTTATCCTCAACAATCTTCAAGCTGGCTGCTTTACTATCGCCTTCACACTAACAGTGGTGCTCTGCCGATCGCTGCTAAACCAGATGGCCACAGGTGGCTTGACAAAGGCTTTCGAAGCTCTATCTGCAAGTGCCGCCAAGGGCGTGATGCGGCGCGATTTGATAGATCTCTTTAATGAGGAGAAGTCCGAAGCTTTTCTGTCACTTTGCGTTTCGTGCTACACCTTTCCGTATGCGACCCGATCAATGCGACAGGTTCTCATACAGCTTGTCAGTATCGGGTTCAGTGCATACAATGTGCAGGCTTTTCTCTACGAGCAGGTTGACCTGGATATGGTGGATGCATAGGATTCAAGTTGCAGGGATGGCGCATTTTCCAAGTAACGTTCCGAGCTTCGCCATTTCAACATATCAAGACGTGCAGAAGTCCGGCTTCTGCCAACCACATGCTAACTTCACGACTTGCCAGAGGAAGGGGTTTTTCCCTCCTGAGGAGGTTTGTCCCTTTGTACTGCAACTGTGCAAATATTGTACAGTGCCTGGCTGCCTGCATCAACATATTCGAAATCTTAAAAATGATTACCAACAAATTTCGTCATTTAAAAATATTGTTTTCGATAAGATATCGCAAGAAATGAGAGAATCCTCAAAAAAAATAATCTAAATCCAAAGATTCGGAAAGATCC